CTAGCCCCGCCCTCGGCCGAGACCCCACCCCCAGGCCCGCGGGTGCTCGGAGCGCCCGGGTCCGGGTCTCCCAAATCCCCGGGATGCACGCTCCACACGCGTTACTGTGCCAGCACGCACCTAAAGGCTGGCTACTAGCGCTGCCATCCAGCGGGTCCCTAGACCTCCTGCCTCAGTCTTTTCCTCTGTGAAACGGAGACCCGGGAAACTTCTGCTTCGATTTGGCGGGGATGGGGGTGAGGGGGGATGGAGGAGGAATCCAGTTGTGCAGGAAGAGGTGCACGGAGGCTGGCTTCCCCCTGTTCCACACCCCCGCCCCCGCAGAGTTCTTACACGCCTGTCTGGGAACCTGCATTTTAGTTTTAGTGAGGTGCTTCCTGAGCAGAAGATCCTTCCCATGTAAAGTGCAAGCCGTCAAGGGACGGGCAACATCTAAGGCATGCCCAGTAGTGACAAATTCATAGTTCGCATTTAATCCCCACAATACCTTGAGAGGCAAATATTTATCCCTATTTCCCAGAGAATGGAGTTTCAGGAGTGCTCAAATGCCCCAGGACATAAAGCTAGGAGACAGAGTGATGGAGGTGAAACGACCAAGATCTCTGCCCTCCAAAGTGCCTCCTGGGGGCTGCAGTTCACCCGAGGGAAACCCCTCTCAACCAAGAATCTCAGTGTCTGCGCGCTGATGAGGTCCCGGCTGTGACCTCTGGAGAATGGAAAGGCGGCTGAGGTGAGAGCAGGACCTGCTGCTGGGTTGGTGGGGCGGAGAGGAGAAGCCAGGCTAAGGGGGCAGCCAGGGTCTGAGTATGCAGCGGGCAGCAGGGAGGGGTCTGTCCCATGCCACACATGACGTGGGCACATGCACTCAGGGTTTGGCAGGGCCAGCCGTGCTAGCAGTGTCCTGTGGGGATGCTCTGGTGCAAAATAGGCCACTGCGACCGCGTGACTAGCGGAGAGAGTGTGAGAACAGCCAGCTGGGCAGAGGGAAGGCCCCATCCTGCCCCAGGACGCTCCCAGCCCTTCCGCCTTGCCTGGTCTTGCCCGTGAGCTACAAAACACAACCACCAAGCTATATGGAGCATTTGCAGAGCGTTGGGAGCTGTTAGGCACTCTCTGTGCACTGTAACTTATTTAATCCTCACAATCACCAGAAAAGGTACGTGCTATTATCATACCCATTTGATGGCAGAGGAAACTGAGGCACAGAGAAGGCAAGGATATCGCCCAAAGTCACACAGCTGGTCCATGTTGAAGCTAACTATTAAACACACTAGCAAGTCTAGGTCCACAGCCCTTCCCCTCAGCCTCCTTTCTGCCCATCACAGTTCATATGGTGCACACATGTGTGTGCACACACATGCATGCATGTGCAGACACCCAGACTCTCTCTCCAGGTTTCTGGAGCGCAGGTCAGGTCAGATACATCTCTGTCTGACATTCCGTTGGTGCCCTCTGAACACCATGATTTCTGGCTGTCCACCTCCACGAGCTGTCACTGTCACTGGGGACAGTGTACAGACAAACTAAATCACCTGGGAGTTAGGTGCAGGGAGGTTTGGTCTGGGCCTGTTTTCCCCATTGGTTTCCAAGAAGCGCAACAGAAAGGCTGTTGCAGAGCAGCCAACCACCACCCGGAGGTCTCTGTCCCTCAGGACAGAGCTCTAAAGTTTGGCTCCCTGAAGGCCCCTATTCCAGACCACCCTTTCCACAGCTGCGATGAGCAGGTATCACTTTAGAGATGACTAGCACTGAGAAGACTTTCCCTTCAAGAACTTGAGGCTGCTTCCTCCCCTTATTCCCAAGTTATCTGACACCTTAAAGCAATCAGAATTAAGCTGGCAGGTCTCAGGAGCCTAGAGTAATTGAATCTATTAAATAGACAGTTCAGACTCTGTCCTCAGGGAGCAAAATCTGGAGGTAGAGTGAGGTGCAGAAATAACACGGCTTCTTTCCACAGAGGCCGTGTGTGCACACGGAATGTGGGTGAGCCAGTGTGTGCCAAAATATGGGTGAGTGTGAACAGATACATATGACGGGGTGGCCCTGCGTCTGACCAGGGCTGCACCAGCACATCTGTGGGCGTGTTGTGTGTGTAAGAGAAGGATGTGCGCCTCTGTGAATTCTGAGGAGTGTGTGAGTGTTCACTCTCGACTCAGAACTCACTGGGTTTTCCTGTTTAAATGGCTTGTCTGGTTGACATTTTAAGTTTATGCCCTTGGCTTCCATCAGAAAGTCACTCCAGAGGCTGGCCCGGAAATGCTGTGTATTTGGAGTTGGATCCCACATGGCCAATAGCATTTTGAATCCAGGCCCCAGCAGCTTGAAAAATATGGTGGCACGTGTGTGCTGCATGTCCCAAACCTGACAAGATGGAGAAAAGATATTGTGGAATGACTACGCCCCTTTGGGAATGGCTTTCTCTCTCTCTCTCTCTCTCTCTCTGGCAAGAATATGTGCCCTCTGGCAAGGAAGGAAGGGAGAGAGGAAGGAGGAGCAAGCCACTCTAGAACCAGCTATGGTGGCACAGGCTGCGGGGTACAGCTACACGATATTGGAGTTACATGGGAGCCCCAGGTTTGAATCCCTGCTCAACCTGAACACACTAAGCTGGCTCATGGGTGCCCATGGTCCTGGCTGGCTGGGAGGCTGGGGAGGACTGTGACATGGTGAGACCCTGCCAGGGGTACCCCTCTCTCTCTAAAAAAAAGAAAATGAACTTTTAAAAGGCCCCACCCACTCCAGAAAGCCATATGAAGAATACTGTACTAGGTCATGGTTAAAGCTGTACTTTTACAACTGTGCTATACAGCGGCCCTTGAGGAAGGGCCTAGGCTTTCTAAATTCAGCCCCAGGAACAAGGTTGTCTACTGAAACGCTGCCGCACAGCAATCCCAGCAGGCCTTCCTCACCACCTGTTCAAGCTCCGCAAGGATGAGATACTTGCTGTGAATTTCAATCCTCCTCAGTGCATTTCAGGCATTTTCAAACATCATGGTGGTTCCTGAGGGGGAGTGAAGGAATGATAGGGCCTGAAGCAGCCTGGAGGAGACCCTCCTGTCTGCCACCTGCCCTTGAGGAGTCCAGTGCAAGACCCCTCTGCAAGGTTGCCAGTTCACCCAGGAAAGGACGCTAGCATTAACACCTTACTGCTTCCACACAGTTAATTTTCTTTTCTTTTCTTTTCTTTTCTTTTCTTTTCTTTTCTTTTCTTTTCTTTTCTTTTCTTTTCTTTTCTTTTCTTTTCTTTTCTTTTCTTTTCTTTTCTTTTCTTTTCTTTTCTTTTCTTTTCTTTTCTTTTCTTTTCTTTTCTTTTCTTTTCTTTTCTTCCTTTCCTTTCCTTTCCTTTTCTTTTCTTTTCTTTTCTTTTCCTTTCCTTTCCTTTCTTTTCAGAGAGAATTTTGCTATAGGGCATGTGTACTTGCCAGAAAGAGAGAGAGAAAGTGAGAAATCACCCCCTCCAGGGAGGATGGTCATGCCACAATCCCTTCTCCTCCATCCTCCTCTTGGGATTTGGGGCCCTCACACACATGTGGACAGTATGAGTTTCAAGCCTCCGTGTCCAGGACTTGAACTGCGGTCAACCATGTGGGAGTCTAGTCCCTTAACTGCTACACCTCCTACTGGCCCCCAGAGTTATATTTTCTAACCTAATGCAACAGTTTCATTGAGTGGGGCCATGTCTAGTCCATTTTGAAAGCAAAGGGGTAGGAATACTAAATGAATATCAATTCAGATTGGGCCCTGTCTGGTGATTCGGCCCTATGGCTTTGTAGTCTGAGAAGAACAATTCCAACACATCAAACACCAACTAGATCCCACGGGGCTGTGGAGTGGATGCAGGGATGTGGTGGCTCAGGAGCTTAGTACAGGGCTGCTCCCAGGGTGCTTTCAGTCGGGAGGCATACCATTTGTTACAACAGAGGTGTATCACAGTCCTGGGGGTGAGGGCAAGGACGCAGAGGAGGGCCATCAGTGGTACTAGAAGTGGGAAGGTCAGGTTAGGATAAGCCTTTGGCATTTGGAAGAGGAGGACAACTGAGTTGGACCTTGAGGGATGACTAAGATTTTGATTGACTGGAGCTGATCCTATAGTGCAGCTATCAAGCCCTGAGCATAAGTGGCCAGACCCTGCATGACCATGGTTTGAATTTCAGCCCCACAGGCTTGAAAACCATGCTGGGTACAAGTGCATACATCCCCCAGATCCTAATGGGGTACATAAATGGAGAAGAAGCACCCCAACAGGGGATTCTGTCTCTCTCTGAAAAGTGCACACACTCTGGCAATTTAAAAAGTTTTAA